TAAGGCTTAATTAATGGATTAATTAATTAAGTATTTTAATTATTCCTAAAATCAGAGAAAATATTCTTAGTGGCTGTACATGTCACTATGTTTAAAGTTTTGAGTTAAAAGGATGTATATCCTAATTTCTAGAATTAATCTAAGTTTTCTAGACAAAGATTCTTAATTATTATCCTTAATGACACTAAGTTGTAAGTTTGCAATCAATGTCATTCTAACCCTTGAATACAACATATACATAAACATGCACAAAAAACAATCAACTCCTAAATTTAGGAGAGCCTTAAACTATGTGGTGTGTGTACCCTAAACATGCAAATCAATTTAGAGCTCAATTAATTGAAGGATTAATCAATGAATAATTAGCAAAATAATTATTCATTGATTAATCATCATTCCATATAAATTCTATTTAATCAAGCTCAACCCATGCTTAAGATTTCAAACTCCTCACTCAAAGATCTCAAAATTTAATATATATAATTTTAAAACTAATTTTGATATTTAGAAAATATATTAATTTTGACATTCCTCCATGATTTATATTAGAATGAAGAGAATGCTCAGTAATTTTTTTTTTGGGTTCTAAAAATAATAAGTCTTGTATTAATTGGTCTACTTGGAACAAGGTGTATGGGGTTTTCAATGAGAGTTCTTTAGTTTGCAAGAATATTCTTGACACTATGCATGCTTTCTCGCATAAATTATGGTTTGCTTTTAAAGCTAACAACATCTTATGGGTCGAGTTTATGAATGTTTAATACTGTAAAGATCTTAACCCTTTGGTTTGCCACTATAAATATTCTGATTCATTTGTTTGTAAAGGCTTTGCAACATCAAATGAGATATTGAACAATATATTCAATGGGGCCTTGGGAAAGGTGATGTTTCCTTTCGGCAAGACAATTAGTTGGATATGTTTTCTATTAATAAATTTCTTAATACCCATACTATTATTAATACTAAGGTTCACTCTTTTATTCAGAATGGTGATTGGAATATTAGTAAACTTTTAGAGGTTATCCCGAATGACATGATTGATAAAATTTTGTAAGTCCCTTTACAATTACAATGTAAGGATAAAATTCTTTTTAATTTATCCTCCTTTGATAAATTCAATTTGAAAAAAGTTTAGAATGATATTAGATGATGTTTCTCAAATTTTTGCTTCTCTTTGGCATAATAATATTCTTTTATCTTATTATATCTTGATTTAGAGATGTCTTAAAGGTTGCCTTCATGTGGATAATCTTTTGTGGAGAAAAGATTTTATTTTTGCTTCTAAGTGTCAATGTTGCTTTAATATTGAAAGTATTAGGCATGTATTTATTAATGGTGTGATTGCTCAAAAAGTTTAGTTCTATTTCTTTAATATTGCTTATAAAGGTATTATGAATGCTAATTATGATGTTGCTGACATTCTTAAACATTGATTTACTAACACCAAAGGTCACATTTATAATCTACTCCCTATTCTGATTATGTGGTACCTTTGAAAGGCTAGGAATGATTCTAAGCATAATGAAATCAAGATGGATGCTAACCAAATCATTACCAATGTTAGAAATAATATTCTACATTTTCAGTCTATCGATTTTATTTCGATAAAAAATTTTAAAAATTATCATCAATTAGTTGCTCATTTTGGCATTCCTATTGATGGTGGTTCAGTGGAGAAAATTGAGCATATTATGAGGTGGTTCAAACCTACTTCCCCTTATGCTAAACTCAACTCTAATGGGTCGGTTGGTACTCGTGTTGCTGGTATGGGTGGTATCATTCGTAACCATAATGTTGGGGTTATTGCTACTTTCTCTGGTCCTCTTAATTTTTGTTCTGTCATTACTGTTGAACTTATGGGTTTATCTCATAGTTTGAATATTTGTTAGAGATTGGGCATTGAGCATGTGGTCATTGAGGTTGATACTAAACTTTTAATTCACATCATTCAAAATGAAGCGGCTAAAAATTCTCATGACTTTTACACTATTAGAAAAATAAAAAATTCCCTCCCTAATCTTAATTACTCTATTTCTCATATTTATCATGAGGGAAATAATTGTGCAGATTGGTTGGCCAAATATGGTTGTCACATTGATATTTTTTAGGAATTTAATGTTTTTAATCTTCCTTCTTTGTTAAGAGGTTTGATTAACCTGGACAAATGCGCGATTCCTTATCTTCGTAATGCTTGAGTGCCCTGTTCTGGTTTATCTGCCATTTTCTTGCGAGTCATGTTCCTATTTTGGCTTCACCGTTTGTTTTTTTGCCTTTGTGAGTTTCTCTGGTTGGTTTGCTAGTGGTTGCTATTTCTGGAGGGCTCTAAGGTTTCTTTAATTGATGCTGGCTATCTGGGTTGCAGTTATTTGACTTTTAGGTGGCTTGTATTATTATTTCTGGTTGTTGACTAGCTACTAAATTTATTTAGGAGTCCTTTGGCTCTAACTTCTTTGTGTTACGGAGATAGCTGTTTTATGGAGCTTTTTCTGCTCCAGGAGAATGCGAAGTTTGTTTGGTACGTGAGTTGTCTGGATTCATCTTATTATTTATCTTTTAGCCACTTTTTTAATAGTGAGCCTTGCGGCTTGTCGTTGATTACTATGTCCCTTAATTTAGTAACTGCCTTTGAGCTTCTTCCTGTTTTGGTTGATACCCGCATGGCTATGAGGTTTATTGAGAATATTCATTGCCCTATCTCTGTTAAGTCTGCTGCTAACATCAAGGTTTTGATTGTTTATGTTATGGGTGATACCTTACTGAGAACTTTATTTCTGTATATGCTATATCTTCTTCTTTTATTTTGTGGTACCTTACTGATTCTCACACGAATCGTGACTGCTGTGTTTATTCTCCTGGAAGGGTTTGACACTTTTCTTCTCCTTTTATATGTCAAATGCTTAAATATCTACTCCTCCCATTATTCTTGTCGAATTACTTTTTGTGTTGGAGTGTTGACTTTGTGCAGATCTGGTGGCCAGAAGATTGTGTTGAATGCTATTATTTTGTTTTTCCTTTTTTGGGTGATGTCTACTTGCAGCCCTAGAATGTACTTAGATTTTTTTATAATTCTTAGTATAATGAACCACCGGCTTTTAAAATTTATTTTATTTTCTCTTGTAGCTCTTATGAGCATTAGCGAGCTCGAGATTCCTTCTAAGGACTTTATAACCCCTTTTTGGATATTAACGCGTAGGTCCCATTTGTGGTTTTAACTATATATATATATATATCTTTTCACTTATACATTGTGACAACCAAGCTGCTATCCATATCATCATAAATTTTCTCTTTCACAAACAAACCAAACACATTGGGATTGTTCACGACAAGCTAGCTAGCAGATGAATTCATCAAACTCGTGCTATTACTTCTGTCTAAACATCAGCTAGATGTTCTCCTAACCAAGCCATTAATATTGCCAACTATATTCTAGTTCCTATCCAAGATAGTCAATTCAAGACATCCACATTCTATCTTGTGATAACAAATTTTTTTTTCTCCTCTCCTTTACAAGACTTCTATCTGTATATCTTTCACAATAGTATTAATAGAACATAAATGACTAATTAAACAATATATCTTAAAAAACTCAACTATCATTGGACCATTTCTAATAAAAGACATAAATAAATCTTAATAATGATTAGGCTGCCCATACTCCCAATTTAAAATAAGAATCATAATCATTGAAGAATAAAGCTTTTATTAAACACTTAATCAATCAAAATTAATGCCATAATGGAAGATTCCAATGCTTTTTAACCTATGCGATGAGTTCATTGTATCAACCAAAATAAATTATTAATTCCGTAGACATAAGGAATTGAAATAAAGTAAAAAAGATATTATTAGATAAAAAAGCACATATTTTTTATTAATTTTATATTTTATTGGAATATTTGGTTTTGTAATATTCAAAAAATAATTATTTATAAAACAAACTCTCAAAGAATGAAAAAAAAAAAGCATTAGAAATTTGCAGGAAAAAAAATATTTTAATTTTATTGTATTCTTCAGAATTTTGTTGATATTATTACAATAAAAAAAGTTAGATATTAGTTTTATAAATAAATTAAAATTTACTTTATCGAAAATATTATTTCAATTTTATAATATATATTCTTTTGTTTAATTATGCATTGATTTTACACCAATTTTTTAGAAAATAAAATATTGTGCAATGTTTATTAACAATATAATTCAAAATAGAAAAAAATTATTTATTTTATTTTCTTAATATTTTTATAAGGATAGAAATACATATATTTATTAACTAACAAAATTATGTGAATATGATAATAAATTTAAAAATATTTAATTAATTAAGCTAATCGCCACCCATTACTTCTACATCTAAATTCTCATGCATAAGGATAGTATTATCGATCTCTCGCCTTTGATTTATCTTTAAGATTAGTACACAGCAAAGTATCGCTTCTTATCACCTCGAGAGCACGAATCTCGAAATAGTATAAACGGATTCAGATTAATTCTATAGACAATTCCACGCTCCTACTGCACAGGATCTCAGACCCAATCTCTCTCTCTAGCTCTCCACGACAATCCCGTACCCAACATGCAAACCCTTCCGCACACTCCATCTCTAATCTCACCCCGAATTTCGTCAAGTCCACGTGGAATAGGCGGAAGTGGACTAACCGAAAATTAAGAAAATAAAGGGTATAATTATCAAATTCCATACTATCACACATGACCGTGCTTCTCCCTCAAACTTTGCTCTCCCCGCATGTGTTACAAATTCTTTTCTGACATTATTTTATAAGATATCCATCGAGTGTACTGCTCATTTGCCTTGCATCATAAGCAACCGTTGCTTGGATTCACACACTCTCTCTCTATCACTAGATCTTCATTCTCTCTCTATAACCAGCTCTCTTTCTCTCTCTAAGTTTGCTGAGCAATCCTCTTGCAAAAAAGGATCATCATTTCAGCACACAATCTCAAAACCCATGTGAGCTCTCTTACCATCTTTTCTTTTCTTTTTCTTTTTCTTTTTTTTTTTCTGGCTTTTGTTCGAAATTCATAAGTAGGAGTAAGAACAGAAGAAAACCATTGATATCTCATCATCTCATGCAAGGAAGAAGAGCCAATTCACACTGCACATCACTGTTCCTTATTTCTAGATTTGGAATTTTCCATCATCTTCTTTTGTAAAGGAAGAAAGTCTTTGATCTCTCCTTCTTACTGCACATCACTGCTTGTTTTTTTCTCTCTCTCTCTACAATACCTCTCTATCTCTTCCATTTAATTGTATCACTATGCATTAATACCTTTGTTTATGTTCTTTTGAATTTGTTTATGGTAACGGACTAGTAGCTCACCGTTTTGTGGGCCGTTTCCTTGCTTTAATTCCCTTTTGTATCCAAACATTAAAGAGAATTCTCTTCTCTCTCTCTCTCTCTCTCTCTCTCTCTCTCTCTCTCTCTCTCTCTCTCTCTCTCTACTGCATGTTTCATGATCTAAGGTAGGCTTAAGGTCTTATGTGTTACTGAAGGGGTGTAGTTCTATACCTTTTTCTTTACTTGATGAATTTATAGGTTAAAGTAGGTGGATTTGATTGGAATTTTTAATATCTATTACTCTTTTTAAATATAAGTAGCTTTTGCTTAAGTTATCATAATTCTGCTTTTCTCTTCACATATATTCCTTCTAAATTCAGCAAAGCTCTTCCCTTTCTCTCCCTCTCCCCCTTCCTCCATCCTCTCCTCCTTTGTCTGAACCAGTCCTGGACTCTCCAAGGTTCAATATTTATGTGTTATTATGCATCTTTTATTATTGTTTTCTTCTTATATGGACTGACATCTACGTAATTCAGAATATTTATGAGGAAAAATAGAGACTTTCGTCTATAAGATTCATGATCATCAACCAGAAATGAGTAGAAGCAACATAGAAGAGCATCAGATCATGAGCGGATCAAAGCAGTGCCCAAGCTGTGGCCACAAACTCGATAGAAAGCCAGTAAGAATTAATTTAATTAATTTAAAAAAAAAAAAGCTTTACCAAGAATCCGATGCTTTCTGATGTTAAATTTCTTTTGTAACTTTATTTTCAATTATTTTTTTATTAAATTTTTTTGATAATTTTATGTCAGGATTGGCTTGGGCTACCTGCTGGGGTGAAATTTGATCCTACTGATCAAGAACTCATAGAACACCTCGAAGCTAAGGTTTCCTGTCAATCCAGTATGAGATCTCACCCTCTTATAGATGAATTCATACCCACAATTGAAGGAGAAGATGGAATCTGTTACACTCATCCTGAGAAACTACCAGGTCTTAATTAATCCCCCGGCCCATAGTATTTTATGCTTAGAATTATATTAATAAGATATGCAAGATCTGAAGGTGGCATAAATTCCATTCCTTACAAAAAAGAAGATTCTTAATTCTAGCTCCATGTGAAATATTCATGAAGGTGTGACAAGAGATGGGTTGAGCAAGCACTTCTTCCACCGGCCATCCAAGGCGTACACGACGGGGACGAGGAAGAGAAGGAAGATACAGACGGAAGTCGACGTGCAACGAGGCGAGACTCGGTGGCATAAGACGGGGAAGACGAGACCGGTTACAGCGAACGGGAAGCAGAAGGGATGCAAGAAGATACTGGTTCTATACACAAATTTTGGCAAGCACAGGAAGCCGGAGAAGACAAATTGGGTGATGCATCAGTACCACTTAGGTGAACTTGAGGAGGAGAAAGAAGGGGAGCTTGTGGTTTCAAAAATATTCTATCAGACACAACCAAGGCAGTGTAGTTGGTCATCAGAGAGGAGTGGGGCAGGTGGAAAGGACAGTGGTAATGGTAGCGGGAGTTGCTCATCAACAAAGGAGGTGGTGAGCGAGAAGAGGGAAGAGCTCGGATCTGTAGCTGCAGTTGCTGCTGCAGCTGCTGCTGTTGCAGGAATGGCAGTGTACAGTACTGGTATGGAGCAGTTGCAGCAGACTGATAGTTTCAGCTTTGCCCCTTTCAGGAAGAGTTTTGATGAGGTGAAGTATAGAATTTTTTTTTTTCATTTTTTTGCTGTTTTACTTTCATTAAATAAAAAATACCTGCATGGTTATGTGCATGTAAGGTTCTGGCTTGTTCTAGGTCTTGCATGCATGTTTTTTTTTGGTAAGTTGCTGTATAGAGAGGATTAATGTTACTACAGAAAAATCATCAATTATTAGTGATCTGTTCTGACGGTTAAAATAAATTTTTCGGTGGTTTTGAAAATTTTTGGTGGTAGGCTGGCGTTTCACAAACCGTCAGAATAGATCGCGTAGGAAAGAAATTTCCGCCGATATTATCGCCGGTAAGTAGCGAATATGATAATTTGGACAGAAAAAGTTCTTGGAAAGAATTACTTATCTTCAATTGTTTATATATAGAGATCTGTATTCTTCTACATATAATTCTTATGGTAATAAAGGTAAGCTTGTTGTGCAATAATGAAACAGGCTAAGTTAATTTTGTCCTTCATCAGAAAATGAGATGAGAAGATATAACTCAAAAGCTCATTTCTGAAACAAGGCGATATTATGATTCATGATAGTAGATGACTGTAGCTGTTCAAGGAGAACATTTGGAGGGGATATGTTACTTTTTTATTTGAAATATCCTGATAGAAATGCTGAGCATGAGAGTAAAGCTTTAGCTCGTTCATGTTTTGTATCAAGAAGTTTGCTAGGTAGGTCACATACAAGCTCATCTTGAACTGTTTTGCAGAGCTCTAATGGCGTTTCTATGGTACTTATGATCACTTATCATTTTGTCATATGGATATATTTATGTTCATCAATTTTGAATGCAAAAGGCGCATCCTCCTCGTTGTACAGCTTTTTGCAGGAGTTAGTGGAAGCCTATTCCATTTTTTTAATGAGTGATGCCTCCTCTAGTTCTTATTTTTCAAAAGAAAATGAAGTAATATAGAGAACTATAACAAAAGAACTAAAAAGAAACTGAGCTTGAAACTCTTTTTCTTATTTTTTGGATGAGCAGGTGGGAATTGGAGAAGCAGCTGCAACTCATTCAACAGAAGGATCAATGGGCCGTGAAGAGCGTGAAGAGCGTGAGCATCATCATCATCAACGACACCAATCGGCGGCGGTGGTGGCCGCCGCTGCCTCCGCCTTCGACATAAGCAGGCCTAGTAACCCCATTTCAGCCATACTACATCAGAATACCATGGTTCTAGATGATCCCTACCATGTCTCAAGGATCCTTCTCCAAGATAAGTTTGAGGTATTTTCTTAAGGAGCTCATTAACGTTAAATAAAATTTGTAGGAGACCTCTAGTTAACAAATTAATGTCTTGTTAATATTTGTATATATAATTGTTTAACCATTTGATTGTGATTAATATCCTCATCAGCAACAACAGCAGCAACGACAGCAACAACAACAGAAATTGGCGGAAAGATCAGCTGGTGCTGGTCTAGAAGATTTGATAATGGGCTGCACTTCAACTGATATAAAAGCAGTTAAGTGATTAGTCATTCCCTTGTTACTAGTGCTTGAATTGAATTCTTTGATAAGCATGTTCCACCTGAGAAATTATTCTATGCGGACGCCGAATGCAGATTACCGTCCGGAGACCAACCAGAATGTGCCACGTCAACAGTACCGAGCCGGGTAATTAGCAGGAGGTGACGTGGCACATTCTGGTTAATCTTTGAATGGCGTTCGACGTCTGAACAGAATAATTTCTAGTTCCAAATAGGATCGAAGGAGCCTTACTCGTCTCATGCAAATCAACAAAGACATGCATGTTATACATAATTCTCATACATTTTTCTTCAAGTACATCAAAATGAAATAATAATAATAATAATTAAATATATATCTATATATATGGTTTGAGTAAGAAGAGATGGAGAAAGAGAGGATATTTTGAGGTTTTAAAGAATAGAGTAGGGAACATTAGGTCCCCTATTATAGGGCCAAGATAAAACAGAACTTTCCTTTTTGGAAATCATATGTAGAAAGAGCAAATGCTGGAGCTATATATCACCTTCTGACTAGCTGGTGTGTTGTTTCCTTTCTCACTTGATTCTCAAACACTCACATGGATAAGCAGCAAAGAATATGTTTTTAGAATTTGTTTTCCAAAAGATAAAGGGAAAGATAAAGAGAAAGATAAAGAAAATAAAGGAGCTCTTTGTATTTGAATGTCTACTATTTCATCAAACAAGGATATACAAAATAACATCTCCTCTCTTTCAGCATCTCAGTAGATTTAAAATTGATGTTGGCGCTTCCATGGACAATTTATATATGCGTTCCTCTTAAGAAAGAGGTCAGGATAACCTTTTCATTCTTTTAAGAAGGAAAAAGACCAGTCAAGTAATTACAGTACAGCTAAACAGAAATTCCAAAACTAACTGAGAGAGGAATGCTTAGCCAGTTTTGCTGCATTCTTATCCCATCCCATAGAGGTCTTCCTGTAGCTTAATTTGATTTTATTTGTTACTTTATATTATTGTACAGGTCCCAGTTTAATCATCCAAATAAAAAAGCTCATAAGTATTGATCTCCTTGTCTTTTGCTTTAACTTTTATATTTTTTTCTTGATATTTTCTATTGCTTGTTTCTGCAGGAAACATCAATTTCACAACCACAAGAGACAGAATGGCTAAAGTACTCGTATTGGTCACCTGACAGCCATGATCATCATGGGTAATAACAAAGAAGAAGAAAACCAAGAAACATCACAGTAAACAAGGAAAATATATCATTATAAGTACTTGCTAGGAAACTTCTCATAAAGAGGAATCAATTGGGGGAAAACTGGGAAAAGGGCCACCTCTTCTCTCTCTCTCTCTCTTTCTCTCTCATGGTTTATTGGACAATGAGCTAAAGGCTTCGTCTGCCAAAACTAACTGTATAATAATCCAGGTTGGTTGGAAACGAAGTTCAAAAAGTTGTTAGGAAAAAAAAGAGAAGGAAAGGATTTCATGAGAAAAACTCAAAAAATAAGGAAAAGAAACAAAAGAGGGTAGAGAAAATAAAAAGAAAGGTACTGGCTGGTGTTACTGGCAGGAGAAGTAGAAGGCCTACTCTCTTGGAGCCACTTTTCATCAAAATCAGCGTTCATCATAGTTATATAATCCTGGTATATATTGCTTATTTGTGATGATTCTTGTTATTTTCCTACAAAAATATTTGTTTTCATTTTTCATGTTTAATGTTTTTCTTAACCTATATATACATGTTATATATTAAACACAGAAGAAGAGATAAATCAGGAAGTTTTCTTCGAGAGAGAGCAAACATTTCAATTTTTTGTTGTATTGTATGTGGAGGGCCTTAATCAGAGTTGAAAGAGATGATTTTGATTTGGTCTTTCTATTTCATTTAATTGCTTCAGTTCCTTTGAGCTTCTAACTTAATAGTATCAAAATATGAACTTATATAATGTTGCTTAGAAGTTGTTGATCACTGATCCATTCTTAAACTTCAAAAAATTAATTGTTATATTGTGAAGAAACCATTTACATCAGGCTTCAAGTTGTTGGATAGCACTGAGATTTGTGATATTGAGCTCTTCTGCTTTAAGAATTTAAGTGCATTAGGCTTCCTGTCACTAATTAAGCAGCTAAGGAATAGAGAGAATTAAGCAGCTCAGGGATAGACACTACAGGAAAAACGTCGAAATACTGTGGTTTTTTCCGGCGGTTACTCTATATTAACCGGCGGTTTTTTTCCTTACCGGCGGCTTGAAGGCGGTTTTTTGACCGCCGGGAAAAACCGCGTAGGAAACTTTCACCGGCGGTTTATTATTGCGGCGGTTTGCCGGTGGCTTAGACCGCCGGTTACAGGCGGATTTTGAACCGGCGGTCTTCCGACTGTTAGACCGCCGGTTATTTGACCGACGGCTTACCGGCGGTAAATATACCGACGGTTTGCCGTCGGTTTAGTTGGCGTCGTTTGTTTTTGAAACCGCCGGAGGGCGCCGGTAGACCGCCGGTCTTTTAAGGGCGAACGCCGGCGGTTCAACCCGTCGGTACAACCGACGATATAAACCGCCGGCGAACCGGCGGTTTAATGCCTTTACCGGCGGCTGATTATTGGCCGTAAAGATCTTTTGATATTGTGAAATTTTTTTAATGTGATGTAGAATCTAGTGATAGGACAGGGTAATGTTGCTTCGCAAGTATGTATAGACATAGGCGTTTCACCAATACCCATTAAGGAGAGTGGCTTCTCCATCTTGTTTATTGCAAAATGAGAGAGAGTGTGTGTGTGTAAATTTTAAAGTATAGGACTTGGGAGGTAAATATGGTAGCCCGAATTACTATAAATCTTATTTATATTTTTATTTTTTGCATATTATTATTTTTATGCTACTTACATCATGTATGATGATGATATCTATTTCTGCTTTATAAAGGACTTTCTACTTGAACTTTATTAGTTGCTTACCTTATATCAATAGTTGAAATTGGTCAAATTGGTTTTGATTCTTGATTTATGCTAAGTCTGATATTTCAAAATGCAAACTATGAGGCTTCCTCTTGAAGGTTAGAGGCCTTGTTCATTAGCTTCTCAAAAACTTTTTATGGTGAATCCTTTTAATAAGAAAGGTATTGGTCCCTTAGGTTTTCTTATCTTTTTGATTGAATGTAGCTCTTCGAGCATTAGAGGGCTGAAAATCTCTTTAAGGATTTGTAATTTTACTTTATATCAACGCGTAGGCCTCTTTGTGGGTTTCAACTAAAAAAAAATGTATTGGTCCATGAATATTTTCTTAGGAGTATCTCAATTATATGATGTTCTTACAATTGACGCTCACATCCAAGGACTTTCCAGGTTTTTGCCTTTCACCACTAGATCACCAACTATCACATGATGTTGGGCACTAGCAAATCTCTTCAAGAATAATAATTGTGATCTATTTCATTTAAAGTTTTTATTAAGGAATTAATCTTAATCTTGATAAATTATGATTTCATCTTAAAGTAAAAGTATGATTTCATAAAAAGCTCTTCAATTCAAAATTTTATTTTAATTAAAAATAACTTGTTCCTAACTTGCATTTGATTGCCTCTAAATGTTTCTCAAGAAAACATAATAGATTTAAGATTTTTTTATGGCTCTTCTAGCAATTGTTAGTTAATTTTTTTAAACAAAATTCCATAAATTTTAAAGACGCACAAATTCACTCCCTCCCCTACCCCTATTGGTTAAGCCACACACTACACATCTTAGGTCGATGATGATAGCTTTGAGTTTGGATGTGTGCCATAAATTGAGGAGAAAACTCATTTTTGTATGAGGGAGAGCTAACAAGTAATATTAATGGTAGTGGCAAAGATAGTGATTGGGTCAACTACAATTTTGAGTTTGGATGCATGCCCTAAGTGAGAGGAACTGGCTAAGGCCAATGAGAGGGAGAGCTAACAAGTGAAGTTGATTGTAGTAGATCCAATAAGCATAAGAAGGGGTAAAGGTGTGAGTCTTCAGATATGTGCCTTAGGCTAGGCATGAGAGAGAGAGAGAGAGAGAGAGAGAGAGAGAGAGAGAGAGAGCTGAATTTTAGAGAGAGAGAGTTGAATGAGGCACTTCATATTACATAATTAGGTTATGTTGGATAGTTTATTTAGCTTACCTATAGATATTTATCCATCAATCATAAAGATATTGTTAGCAGATTATCCGCTTAAATTTTAAGATACATGTGGATAATCTATTAGAAATATGTTGTTAATATCATTCTCCCAATTTATGCTAGCCTATGGTACAAGAAGTTGGTTTGTCGGGAATTCCCCATAACATTTCGGTGAATTTTTTACGGGTAACATCATTGGTATATACTTCAACCATATGGTTCATCACTCATTTTCGAACATAAGCTAAAATTTATGCACCAAAAGCTCATTCAATCATATGGAGGCACTATGCAAGACATCTATACTTAAAACCCTATTTAATCATTATAAATACATCAAAGATCTATTAGAGCCATCAATCACGAGAACCACTAAATCAAAACCAAATCATTAGCTTTTGTACCACTGTTAAGTAGTGCAAATCAAAGAGGGACCAAATATATATATGCCAAAAATGCTAATAGTCATAAACATTTTCAAACAAAAAGTATAATATTATAAGTGAGGTTAACAACTTAGTATTTTTAAACCAACACATTTTTTAATTATCTGATGTGTTATTATTATTTTTTTTATCTGATGTGTTATTAAACCAATGCTTCTTGTACTTTGGAATCTTCTTCCTACATTACAAGGAGGTTGCTTCTAATATCCAAACTTCAAATTTTTAAATCCCAAATTAGAACAACTTGAGCATTATAAGGCGTGTTTTTAACTTATGATCCAACGTAACACGACACACTAACATGAAATCAATTCAAAAAAGAAAAGAAAACAAAAGAAAATTGTTTAGCTTAACTCAATTAATATCATACAAGTCAAATTTGAGTTAAAAAAAAATAGACATTAATTCTCAAGCTAGGTTGGGATTCACACGACAACACTGGCCTAGCCTATCATTGAAACTGAATAATCTTAATAAGCTAGTTAAATTTGTAGGCAACATGAACCATAGCTGTTACTCCCATGCACTGGCCCTATTATATCCTATTAACTCGGCTCATCTCCTCTTTGCTTTCATCAATCAATGATTCTTCTTGGCGTCTCTTCTCCAGCCCTCACTAGTCATTGATCCTCTAATTTAGGTCATATCCTCATGGATTTCATCATTCCTTGATATATTAGCCCCCAACTCATCCTCATTTCATCTATTTTACTCAGCACTATTTGTTCACAGTGAAGAAAATCCATTATCCGCTACAACATCGAGCTTCTCAATCTTTTTCTCAAGTTTCCTTTATGATTTTTGCGAAGATGTCACTGGAAATTAGCATGATCCATAAATGGGTTAAATGAGTCATGCTCAAGTTATTTTAGTTTTCCCCAAATTGGGTCCCATATTTTAACCCATATAATAAGCAAATAGACTTAGCTAGACAAACTCAAATCCTACCTACTAACACCAAACCTTACCTCTCATTCATGGCCCACTCTCTCCTACTTATATCATAGAATAATAAAATAATGACCTATAAAACTTTTTAGTACTCATGTGAATCCTAATATTGGACCATTTTTTAATGAATATTAGTGAAGTTTTTGTCTTTTCAGCTTAGGTCATCAATTATTCCCTTCAACAAAAAGAAAATTAAATAATTGATAAAGCTGTACATCTCCCCTATTAAAATCTTCAGATAACTCTCTCACAATTAGAATCCAATGCTGTTTTCTAACCATGATTAACAATGCAAGAAACAAACTGATCAAGCAACTTTGTCATGTAGTGATTAATCTTCCTAACTAAAGTTTGGTTTAAAAAATATAAAAAATATTATGAGGTTGATTTTAATTAATTGGTCCTTGTAAACATAATCAGTTTTTATTTGCTCTAATGATCACATTTATTTAAAGCTCGATAATAGTACTACTCAACTCGACTCAACTCGTTTACACCTCTGCTCTTGGCTCAAAAATAATGTTAATCTATTAAGTTGGGTTGGATAGCTCCAAATAGTTAATGGTCGTGCGTAATAAATGAGAATGTTATGGAGACATATTCACTTATCTTTTTTGACATTTTTTTTTTTAATTTCTCTCCACATGTCTTATTACTCGATAAATAACATTTTAACTTATATGAACTAATTTTCATAGCTAGTTGCAATAAAAGAGAGGGGAGAGGGGAGAGGAGAGAGAGCACTACACACATGCACTAATGAGTCTCTCTCTCTCTCTCTCATTTTTAATTTTTTCTGATGACTATTATGAATGAGACAATGTATTACACTAATAATAGAGTAAATAAAGTTTATATCAATAAAATATAAATTTAATATAAAATGATCTCTCCTTTTTTTTCTTTTTTTTTTTTATGAATGGGGTATCCACCCGCTGCCACCCCAAAGAGGCGTTTGGCGGCTTGAGTACTAATCATCGGCTAACCTAGAAGTGGCACCCACCACCTCCTAGCCCGCACTTCATGGGCCCCAATTAAGAGGCGTTGCCGCTCGAGGGGAATCAAATGCGGGTTGGGGGTTACCGAACCGCACTCACCCACCAACCAAGCTAAGCTTCACTGGGGATATAAAATTAAATGATCTTTAATTAGGGGTGTAATAGAGTCAAGCTGACTTGTGAGCAGGTTTAGGCTCGACTCATTAAAGGGCTTATGAGTTGAGCTCTATGAGCTACTGTGTCAAGCATGAGCCAACTATTACTCGACTCGGCAACATGTTTCAAAACTGGTAATATAAATATTCTTATGATATATTAAAATTTGATGATTTCAGTGCAATGTTGATAAA